GTGGAAGCATAGCAGCTTGTGTATTAGGTTTAACCCTTTCATGATTTCCTAAACCATTTGATTGATCGCTTTTTCGCTTTATATATCCTTGAAGCTTGGAACTGAAATTTACCTCATTGGGGCATATCTTTGACAGAGAGAGACCACACTCTCTCCGGTCTCTCTCTTATAACTCTCTGGTCTGTCTCTGGTCTTCCCATAGCCCTCAGTCCTGCTCTCTGATCTCTCTCTGGCCTCCCTCTCTGGCCTCTCTCTGGCCTCTCCCTCTGGTCTCTCTCTGGCCTCTACCTCTGGTCTCTCTCTGGCCTCTCTCTGATCTTTCTCTCTGATCTCTCTTTCTGGTCTCTCTCTGGTCTCTGTCTCTGGTTTCTCTCTGGCACTTTTACCATCAAACTGCAACTCAACCATTTGGCCTATAATAAAAAGAAGACTAAATATTTCTGTTAGTAGTTTTATCTCTTATAAAATCAAAAGAAGACACATTTACATTGCTTTCTTCAAGGAGCAAACATTAAAGGGTTAAAAGCTACCGGTAAATCAAACCTATAACCGTTTTGTCGATGATAATGCACTTCTCTTCTTTCTCTACCAGTTCCTTAATCATATTACAATTGTTTACCTAAAAAAAGCCACAGGTGAAGTTGAGAAACTGCTGGCTATAATCATAAAATACTTTCAGAGGGAGTGGTAGCATTGTTTCCCAAAAAGGAAGTTATGTCCTGATGTATTCCGTTTATATTGACCTACACTAAACAACAGTTATGGTTATGTTCATTGTAAAATATGACTGGAAAAGGACTCATCCTGAATCATGGGTTGAAGAAGTTTGGTCTGCCTAAAACGACCTCATGTTTTAAATTATACAAGCCAGTTTGGGGAGGTCCCTGTGTAAGTAGGTTAAAGCAAAAGTCTTGTAGCATTTAGTTTTAGAGTAACAATGTGTCTTCTTACCACCACTTAAATATGATCAATGTCACACCAAGACAAAATCTCAGTAGAAAAATTAGAAATCACCGTATTTTGAAAGGATGACAAGATTGGGTTAGTCACCTTTCGCCGTATTTTAGTGCGTGCAATTTTTATAGTTTTCTTGCCACTCATACTTCAATGACCTCATCTGACTGCTAGTATAACATGACAGTTACTTTTATTTAAAGTCTCGCTTTCTGGTCTCTTTCTGGTCTCTTTCTGGTCTCTCTCTGGTCTCTCTCTCACCTCTCTCTCTGGTCTCTCACTGGTCTCTCTCTCTCTGGTCTCTCTCTGGTCTCTCTCTGATCTCTCTCTGATCACTCTCTCTGGTCTCTCACTGGTATCTCTCTCTGATCTGTCTCTCTGATCTCTCTCTCTGGTCTCTCGCTCTGATCGCTCTCTCTGATCTCTCTCTGATCTCTCTCTGATCTCTCTCTCTGGTCTCTCTGGTTTCTCCCTGGTTTCTCTCTGATCACTCTCTCTGGTTTCTCTCTGATATCTCTCTCTGATCACTCTCTCTGGTTTCTCCCTGGTCTCTCTCTCTGATCACTTTCTCTGGTCTCTCTCTGATCTGTCTCTCTGGTCTCTCTCTGATCTCTCTCTCTGATCTCTCTCTGATCTCTCTCTCTGGTCTCTCTGGTCTCTCTCTGGTTTCTCCCTGGTTTCTCGCTGATCTCTCTCTCTGGTCTTTCTCTTGTTTCTCCCTGGTCTCTCTCTCTGGTTTCTCTCTGGTCTCTCTCGCTGATCTCTCTCTGATCTCTATTTTTTTTAATGCACAACATTTTAATTGCTTACCTTGAATTATTGAAAAAAAAATTAAAATCTGGTATTGTATGTTTTCAGATTGAAACATGAAAATGAGGTAGAATAATTATAACATAGATTACATTATCTCGCCTAAGTGCCTATGTGTGTTAAAAATATACATGTGAAAACACCAACCAATCCTTTCCACACTCCCTATCAGAAAACCATTAGTTTGTTTGCTTTTTTAAATCTCCAATATCTCACAGCTCTACAAAAGCAAGTTCTAGTACATCCTGTTGAGTTTTTTGAGTTAGTTGAGTTGAATTTGGTCACCGTGTCCCTTTAAGGTAGCCCCTGAAGAAGTGAATGCAAACAGTCTTCATGCACCTACTGACCCGACACACGTACACACCACTGGTTCTCAAAAGGAGGTGTGGCTAACAGTGTGTGACGCGAGTCTAAGCCTCCAAAATAACTAAGCACTTTTCCTCTCCGTCATGTCAGAGGACGGGGTATTAGAGGTATCTTTAACATTTCTGCTTAAGGGGTGGTCAAATAGACGATTTAAAGTTAACTCTTTTTTGATGGCTCCCACTCAAATAAATGGAATTCGTAAAAAAATGTTGCTTCCTTTTTTTTTCCAAATAAGTGATTCATACACTTTTGTCTTTAATACATGCTGAATGTAACTGAAATACAACAACATTGAATAATAAATACTGCAAGTAAACAGTGTGTTGCTAGGGTAACCAGCACTTGGTCCAAGCTTAGACCAAAAATGTACATAAACGGAGTAAAAAAGCCATCAAATTGACTGCTTTAGAAGTTCTAGAGCTAATGCTACGATGTTTCAGCTCTGAATATGTAAAATGTAACATATTTTCTTAAAGACAGCAGTATTTGTTTATGAAACAAACAAAAGACAAAAAACATGTATTTATGAAACAAACAAGAAAAACAAATAAGTAGGCACTCCAGCTTTAAAGTTAGTTAGAGAGTTGAATTGCCCCTTTTCACATTTCACGAGTTTGTACCACAGCGGGGACATTTCAGGGTTGCATCATCAGTTACAAAACAGCAGGAATGAGGAGCACACAACACAAGATAAATGAACAATGACTCTACACTAAACCACAATGAAATGAAATTTCTTGCTTTAACGCAATAAAGAAGCAAGTCTAAAATCTCAAACTTTAGCATAAAAAGCAAGTATAACATTTATTAAATAGGGTTTGGCTTTATTGAAACACTGTGCATCCAATCACAGAGTATTTGGTAAAGACATTAAATTATTTAACCAATAAATTTTATCTTTTTTGCTAAAGGATATGGATCTTTCAATTTATAGCCTATAGTCTGGGAGAGGAATAATAATGAAATGAGCATATGTTGTGGCCAGAGGCATAGTGTCTGTCTGGGAAGCAGGAAATCCACATGGACGTCTTCTGCTGCTTTATTAACTTTATGGTATGAAAAAGATCTTCTCTAATCTATTGGGCTCTCTTGAGATTACTCGTCCAATGAAGGCAGGACTAATACAGAGCGACGGCTGGACCTGGTCCCAGACTCTGCACGACAAAGGTCCTCTGGGCTGAGTCACAGGCGATGTAAACAGAGAACATTCTTCATACAACTTCACTCGGATAAAGGACTTTACATTTGCCCCAAAGCTCTTTCAATTAGCTCTGGGATTTGTGGTCAACAATAACCATATTGTTGTATTTTCTCTCTATGACTCTACACAAACACACACACACTCTACACTAACACACAGATTCCACACAAACACACAGACTCTACACAAACACAAAGGCTTTACACAAACACACACAGATTCTACACAAACACACAGATTCTACACAAACACACAGACTTTACACAAACACACACAAATACAGACTCTACATAAACTTTACACAAACACACACAGATTCTACACAAACACACAGATTCTACTACACAAACACACAGACTTTACACAAACACACACAAATACAGACTCTACACAAACTTTACACAAACACACAGATTCTACACAAACACACACAGATTCTCCACAAACACACACATAATCAATACAAACACAGATTATACACAGACACACACAGATTATACACAAACACACACAGATTATACACAAACATTATTATTCCTGAACCATTTTGACAGTTCCCTGAAAAAAAAACCCCAAAATACTTACATTTTTTCCCCTGCTTTTATTAATATTAAGTAATTCATACAGTTTTTTATATCTCACTCCAAGTCCAGAGACACAAATTATTTTTCAAGCGGTCTATTTCTGATTATTTTGTATCCTGTTTCATTGTTTTAGTTTTTACCTTGTGCATTTTTTATAGTTTAAATTTGAATATGTTTGAAATATATAAATCTCACTTACAATATTGACTTTTGTGAGCATTTAACAACGCTACATCACTGTTACTCATCAAAAACGGACCTGGATTTTTTTCTTGATCCATTCACAATATTATCAGGAACCACATATGACTTTTTCTGTCTAAAATCTCCGCTTCATATTACGTCATTGAGCTGTCGATTTCATTTAATTCCCCATGATACATGTTTCACCACACTTTTTATGCTTTTAAACATTCTGAAACATAGACAAGGCAAGTTTATTTGAAGAGCACAATTCATGCACAAGGTAACTAAAAGTGATGAACAAAACAAGTAATCTCACATGGCATTCAACATTTTCAGGAAGACTGTTCCAGATTTTAGCTTCATGAATGCTGCCTCCCCATGTCTAGTTCTGACTCTGGGCACCAGCAAGAGGCCAGTTCCTGTGCTCCTCAGAGTCCAAGTTGGTACATAAGGCACTAACATGACACATATGTACTTTGGTGTGAGGCTATGGGGAGACCTAAAATATAAAAAATCTATTCTCTGAGCCACAGGAAGCCAGTGCAGAGAACTGAGAACTGGACTGATATGATTGTACTTCCTGGTTCTAGTCTAGACTCGAGGCGCAGCGTTTTGAATTTACTCCACCTGTTCATAGAATGACAAAGTAAAAAGTAGCATTATCATTTCAGAGTCAAAATCTGAGGCATAATATTTCATGTCTGAAGCTGGTCTTAGTGTTTTCTTGGCTACACAAGTAGTTTCCTTGTGTAACTGTAAACTGTCTCTTTGTGTTGTGCATGTGTGTGTGTGTGTGTGTGTGTGTGTGTGTGTGTGTGTGTGTGATGGGCAGCTTGCTAAGAGGCCTTTTATCTCTTATTTTTGACACATTGTTTTGTTTCTTTTGTGTTTTGTTGCAGCGTCTAACATTCCCATTGTTGATGAGTGTGGGGACAGCGGTGTTGGGCTCATTACAGTTTGGCTACAACACAGGCGTCATCAATGCTCCACAAAATGTAAGTTTTCATACGTATTGATATTGAATTCAACAGTCTTACGAAGGCGACAAAGGCACAAAAGAAAAACGCATTAGTTTTTTTATTTATTGCTTGAACACATTTTGCTAAATTTTACTCATTGTCCCAAAACTCTACACACAAGATAACCTGACACAACACTGGGACATAAACCATTCTCAAACTCAAACTCTGCTATCAAAACCAAACAATAATCTTCTGCTCAGCTCCATTTTAACCACAACAGCCACATCACTGCACATGCTGCACCGATCCGCCTGTCAATCTCACGCTTCAGGTTCTGTAACTTGGGTCTAAGCAGTAGCTGTAGTGGGAAACACACTGAAAACATAAGTAAAAACACTCGAGGCGATGTCTTATGTGACCAGACAGAAGGATTCCTGTCCTAAAATGGTCTTAGTGACGGTCTGGGGAAATGCCCTGGAGGGAGGATACTAACTAGATATTCCCAATGAACGTAAGAAGATGTATTAGTGGATGTATTTTGTAGGATTTAGGAACAGTATTGGTTCATGTTAGAAATGTAGCCTACAGACAGCATTCATTTCCTAAACTTTTGTCAGGGGTTGGTCTGAACACACCTTATGACTACACAGCTGCCAGTCCATAATCAAATTTGCTTTTTCACCAGCGTCCTTGTCACCCTCCCGCCTAAAGCCGAGCCAATTATTATCTGCTTTTCTGTCACCGAATATTCTAAGCATGAATCAATTGCTTTACTATTGTGTTAAAGCCATTGCTCAATATCTAAAGCGACAATGATAGTGAAATAGGTGCGTCTGACAGAGCAAGGAATGAGGAGCAGACAGGGCAAGATAAGTGAACAATAACTATACGGAAATATATTCATATCTCTAACCCTTGCATAATAAAGAAGCATATTGAAGCGTAAAGAAGAAATATAGTTAGTCATGAAAATAGACTGTTTCATCTTTCTGCTAGAGTTAGAATAGAAATGAAAGGGTTCAGGTTATCTTTATGATCTAACAAGCTAGAAATTCATATTTGGCCCAAAACTCGAAACTCCAAAGAAGGACAATGAAACCAAATGTATTTCAAATCTTCTATTACACCATCCTTTAAGCAGAGATTTGGAATTCTTTCGAAGCTCAAACCCCCTCTCTTCTGACATGACGGAGAGAAAATAAAACGCTTTAAATAGATAACACAATATGTTTTTATAATTTTCATTTTCAATACTACTATTAATATTCCCGGTGCGCTTGTCCTTTGAGTGAAAAGCAGCCGGTGTGATGCTGCTGCTGGGACGAAGGCCACTGCAGCGTCTATGATTAGATATGCTCTTTCAAGGGCTCCCAGCTTCCTACTCGCTGCATGTTCCACTGTGCATTTTTAACTTCCTTATTTGGTGACACATTCAAACAACACTGTTAAGGCAAGGCAAGGCAAGTTTATTTGATTAGCACAGTTGATACACAAGGCAACGCAAAGTGCTGAACAAAACAAGATTGAAACAATTACATTCATTTACATTCTTAATTGCTAAACACCCCACTTTTTGATTTTTTTTTTTTTTTGCACTTGTTCACATTTTAGGAAAGCTAGGCAATACTTTTCTGGAACTTAACGTGTTCTGTTGCGTTTATATTTCATGAAAAGTGTCTTTGTGTGGAGTGATTTGAATACAGAGCTCACCTTGGCAGCTCCACCACCACTGCTGAACTATGAATAGACATCTTGTTTGATTGTGCGGCTGGTGTATGCACCAGTGTTTTATCACGCGCCAAGAATGAGAGCAGATTGTAAAGAATTTAATAATAATAATAATAATGCATCAGTTTTATATAGCGCTTTTTTGGAGACTCAAAGACGCTTCACATGTGTCATTATTCATTCACTCCATACACTGTGGTGATAAACTACTACTGTAGCCACAGCTGCCCTGGGGCACACTGACAGAAGCGAGGCAACCAGTATGCGCCATCGGCCCCTCCGACCACCACCAACCATGCATACACACACCAGACTCATTCTAGGCAATGGGGGTGAAGTGTCTTGCCTAAGGACACAACGGCAGTTTGGCACTTTACAGCCACAGCCGCCCCACTGTTTAGAAAGTATGGTTGTAAGTATGTATACAGTATTTTTGTATACTTCTATGTGAACACTAGTGACTTAAGATGCTTAGTTGGCAAAGTACAGTACGGTAAAGAGTTGATGAATGATGTTTGGAGTCACATTTCTTTATCAGAAAAGCAGACAAAGCCATGTGAAACTTACATTGTTTTGTGTCCTTCAAGAATATGTCAAACCTCCCACTTTGAGCCAAGCAAGATAATCGAAACATCAATAGTTTTGGGTCGTGGCCCTAAATCAAATAGCAGTTATCTCGGGAGACTCTCGTTGATTTGTCAACACAGATCTGAGAATCAAACAGTTCAAACACAAGAAATGCAATGGTAAAAAACACATTGGTCCATAAGGAGCAGATGTCCAATAGAAATCCATTTTCAAATCTATAAGTGTCATTGAATATCGATAGATCATCACCACTGTCCTTAGACCCTCCTGCATTATTTTTTATGTATTTATTTCACTTTTGTCATTTCAGACAAGCATGTTTCACCAAAACAAGATTGAATTCATTCATATACACACAGCCGTCACGTAACTGGAATATTTAGATTAAAAGCTAACATATTCATACGTTGCTGCTTGATTGACGTATTGGCTGAATAGTTTTGTGACAAGGACAACTCGGTCTCAATGAAAGCTTGTGATGACAGGCGGGGTAAGCTCACACTATGTCCTGGGCTGATGGTCACAGTGTCACCTTATCTGAGCCACACATGACCCAGGGCAGGAGCAGACCTTTAGTTGTGATATGTGATCGCAGTCTGGACAGCTGCAACAGTCACATGACCCGCATTCACACAACACAACACAATCATCATTACATCGGCAGAAAATGATTATTTACACACACACAACTATGTCCCTATTGCACTAGAATATCATTTATTTTTATTTTTTTGCTAAAGTTAGATATGTTAAAATAATTGACAGTAGATAAAGGAACACAAAGCAGACACAGGAAACACACATAACATATTTACACACATTTAAGCTATCAAGTGTTGATAATTATCAATTACTTCTAATGGATTATGACAAACAATTACTTAATAAAGCTGACTTGCGTAACTTTCGAACGTCACACAAAGGAACTATGTTATAAAATCCACCTAACTTAAGTTCTCAAAGCATATGTTATCATATGTTTTTGCCCCATCACATCCACCATCACTCAGCCAATCATACACATCACCACTAGCAAATATTTGCTCAATACTGCCCCCATCTGAACAGTATGGAACAGAATTGACTAAGAAAGAAGTGTAACCTTTGTGTGTTTTTCAGGTTATCGAGCGATTTATCAACACCACATGGGAGCAACGCTACAATGAACCCATCACCAAAGGCTCGCTCACCGCCATCTGGTCCATCGCCGTCGCCATCTTCTCAGTCGGGGGCATCTTTGGTTCTTTCTCTGTTGGACTCTTCGTCAACCGTTTTGGCAGGTACTAAAACTGTTAGTCAAAGATTGTTTACTATATATTTTATGCTTCGTTATTATGCTAAAACTAGATGTTTTATACTTGCTTCTTTAATATGCTTAAAGTGATAGTCTGGAACTCTAAATGAATTACAAATTTTAAGAATTGTATTAAATTGACCTCCTGACCTTAAATGTTGATATAAAATAAGTCATTTTATGAATTCTAATATTACGGGTAAGTCCCGCCTTCCCTTCTCTTAGCTATAGCCCAGAATCCACGATGCCGTCCGTGTTAACCAATCAAGTGATGCCAAAGACTGTCAATCATCGGCGCTCATGCTCGTAGCTGCGCGAATGCTCAGTTGTTTGTTTTCACAGAGCCTCCGAATCAAGCCTCCATTAGGCTCTGGAACTACATGAAAACTGATCAAACCTATATCCATAATAATAGTAATAATCTTTATTTTTATAGCACTTTTAAAAACAATGTTTACAAAGTGCTGCACAGTCAGCATAATAAAGAATAATAACATAATGCAAAGTCAAAATAATTAGATACATACAGATACAAACACAAGAAGTAAGACACAACAAAGACAAAGCAGACATTAAAATACAGCATGTGAAGTTTAAAACTAGCAGTCAAAAGCTGTTTTATAAATGTGGGTTTTTAGAAGTGATTTAAAAGAGGATACTGATGGTGCGAGCCTTATCTCCTCGGGCAGGTTGTTCCAAAGCCGAGGAGCCCGGACAGAGAAGGCTCGGTCACCTTTCGTCCGGAGCCTCGACCTTGGAACAGTCAACAGGGACCTGCCCGAGGATCTAAGGCTGCGGGGGGGCTCGTAGGAGGTTAAAAGTTCATAAATATAGCTGGGTGCCAGACCTAAACGAGCTTTAAAAGTAATCAGTAAAATATTAAAATCAATTCTAAAACGCACAGGGAGCCAGTGGAGAGACGCTAAAACAGGGGTGATGTGCTCCCTTCTGTTAAAACCAGTGAGAAGTCTGGCTGCTGCGTTCTGAACCAGTTGGAGGCGGGAGAGGGATTTAGCGTCGAGACCGGAGAGGAGGGAATTGCAGTAGTCGTTGAGGCGGGAGAAGATGAGGGCGTTGACGACTTTATGGAGATCGGGTGTTTTTAATCTTTGAGATGGTGCGGAGGTGATAGAAGCAGGTTTGGGTGTTTTTTTTTATGTGGGAGCGGAAGGTGAGTTGAGAATCAAAAATGACACAGAGGTTACGGGCGGAGGGAGTGATGTTTGAAGACAGGGGGCCGAGGTGGGTTTGGATGTGGGATATTGATGGAGGTGGGTTGATGAGGAGGACTTCAGATTTGGATGTCTTAAGCTGTAAATAGTTGTGGGCCATCCAACTGTTCACCTCATTCAGACAGTCATCCACAGCAGCCAGACTTCCAGGGTCGTTTGGTCTCAGCGGGAGGTCCGATCTGTGTCGTCCGCATAGCAGTGGAAGGACACATTATGACGGGCCATAACTTGTCCTAGGGGGAGCATATAAATAGAGAATAAAATGGGACCTAAAATAATCCCAGTTTATAAATAATCATTTATAAACTGAACCTATATCCATAATCAGATCCTCTGTAGATGTGTCATATAATGTTCAATTAATGATAATAGCTACTTCCGGGTTAACCGTGATCGCTTTTTTTGTGCATTAAAACATAATTTTTTTCATGAAAACAGTAACAAATAATTCTGAAAACCTCCCTGCATGTGTATTAATAATGTATATGTATAATGTGTTCTCCGATTAACATTTAAAAGTTTTGATTGATTGTTACGGAAACGTAGGTGTAGACCAATCAGAGAGGAAGGGGGAGGGAGCTTGGGTCGTTTTTTTCAAATCATGTACTTCTCTCTCTTTTTTCTGACAAACTCCAGACAATCACTGTTAGAGATTTTATTTTATTTTAGTATAGAGTTATCATACTTCAGATCTTTTAATCTTAAGAAATATGATGCAGTCTTTTGGATATTTACAATGACACGTTCCTGTCATTTCATGTTTTAGAATGTGAAATAATAAAACATATATTATTATGAAACCTTTTCCCGATGCCACCACCAGAGGGAGGTAAAGCTATGGCATTGCACAGAACCTCATTTCATCAGTGTTGCATTTACCAGTTACTGATAAGTAGGAATGAGGATGACAGAACAGGATCAACAAACAATAAATCTGTACTAAAATAAAATAATATCTGTAACTTTGGCATAATAAAGAAGCAAGTATAAAATATGCAAGTTTAGCATAATAAATAATCAAAAATAAAATCTCTAACTTTAGCATCGTAAAAAAGCAAGTATAAAATGTCTAACTTTCGCATTATAAAGAAGCAAGTCTAGAAACGTGGGGAAGATTTATATGTTGAGTGGCATTACCGTGGTATAATCAAAGTCTGTCTGTGACGAGTTCGTGACAATGTTGTGGTGGTTTAAAAATACTTTAGCATAATACTGTATTTCTCCTTCTGCCTGTTCCTTCTGTCATTCCAAGTACTAACCACATCCTCTCTGTCCCTGCAGGAGGAACTCTATGCTGATGGCGAATGTCCTGTCGTTCATTTCCGCCGCTTTTATGGGCTTCTCCAAACTGGCCAGCTCCTGGGAGATGCTGATCATTGGTCGGTTCATCTTGGGCCTGTACTCGGGGCTGTCCACAGGCTTTGTGCCCATGTACGTGGGCGAAGTCTCCCCAACGGCACTCCGAGGCGCACTGGGGACCCTCCACCAGCTGGGCATTGTCGTGGGCATCCTCATTGCACAGGTTTGTTTTGCTTCAGACACAAAAACAGCACTTGTAGGCAGCTAATCAGGGATTGGAATATTTTAAATAAAAGGAAAGTAGCATAGGGTTAAGTCTGGTGCAGCCATCTTTTTAACGTATCTGCACATTGTCTTCAATAAATTAAACTCTAAACTCAGTACATAGAGTAAGATTACGATTTATTAAGATAAAAAGATCCTTAATTTATCCCACAATGAGGAAATTTCGGTGTTGCGTCACCGGTTACAGAACAGTAGGAATGAGGAGCACACAGTACAAGATAAGTGAACAATAACTCTTTACTAAATTTAAAAAAAATCTCCAACTTTAGCATAATAAAGAAGCAAGTATAGATTCTCAAACTCCAGTATAATAAAAAAAAGCGCAAAAAGTGCAAGATATATAAGAGGTTTTATGACAATTTCTATATTAACTACATTTTTTAAATTTTTTTATTCAAACCACCCAAATACATGTTGTCAAATGTATAAAACTGATATTCACTGATTTTTTGTGATTTGAACTAACTAACCCTGCCAAGTCTCTCATCATGTTTTTATTGTTTTACTGGTGGTGTGTGTGTGTGTGTGTGTGTGTGTGTGTGTGTATGAGTGTTCATGAGCGCGTGTGTGTGTGTTTGTCTGTGGTTTGGGGGGGGTCTGTTGGGTGGTCTGGGGGAGGGGTCTTGGGTCGGCGGGATTGTTTTTAACCAATCTGTAAAGCACTTTGTGTTGCATCTTATGTATGAAAAGCGCTTTATAAATAAAATTTGATTGATTGATTGATTGATTGAACGGATGAATCGAACAAATAATCACCAAACTAATTGCAACAGTCCTATCCTAGGGAAACAGCCCTAGGATAGAGTTACTGAAAGTAATCATGTGTTTGTTATGATTGCATTTCTTGAGTTTGAACTGTTTGATTCTCTGATCTGTGTTGTCTTATTTGGACTACTCCTATAATTTCTTGTTTTTCTTCTTCTTCAGGTGTTTGGTTTGGAAGCAGTCATGGGTAACGATGATTTGTGGCCCCTGCTGTTAAGCTTCATCTTCGTCTTCGCCATCATCCAGTGCATTCTGCTTCCCATGTGTCCCATGAGTCCCAGGTTCCTTCTCATCAACAGAAACGAGGAGAACAAAGCTAAAAACGGTATATTGATTTTGTCGGCTTGTTAGAGGTGCATTCTTCAACTAACGGTGCTTTCAGACCGGATCATGCGTTGCGTCGACTTTCAATGTAAAGGTAATTGATTGTAATGGTCGAACTGCATGTGCGTCTCGGGATGCACGTACGGACTGTGCGGCAAAGGTACATTTTGCTGAGAGATTCCTCGGACGATCGTGCAGCGACCAATCAGAGAGCCGCAAAGTGGTCACAGGGACATTAGTGGTCTGAGCGAGCAGACTGAACATACTCGTATACAGCCAAAACAGGAGCTACACCAGGAGTAAACCAGGGTTGACAATGGGGACATAGCGCTTGTGAACATATACGTTTTCATGCTCCTGTGACATAATGCAACTGCTTCGAGCTGTTTGCCGATGCGGAAGTACCGTTTAATAATAAAATAAACTTATGGCGCACCTCCGTGAACACATACTGCTGTTATATAAAGTCTCTGGAAGGTCTCTGGACACAGAGACGCTACAGAGCTTCATTATTGGAAAAGAACTTTACAAAAAAAGCCGCTAGCTTAACTCCGTTTGCATCCAAATCCGCCCGCTACTTTCGCCACTTCCGGCGGGTGCCACCGCTGGCCAGGACCCCTGCGTCTGAAAATTAGAGAATATGTGTCTGGTGCGCGAGGCGTCAGCGTTCCAGCGTCAGCGGTGTGAAAGCATCTTTAGGTGTAGAAGGTTCTTGTAATTAGACAAAAGTGTAAAATAGCTGATACTAAGCCCCATTTGCACAAGATTAGTAACACCTGAGGACCCCTGGTGATTTGTGATTATCACGGAGGTCGTCTGAGATCTTAGTGCCGTGTGAATGCTCCATATCTATAATTTGTAAAGTAATAATTCTAATTACCTCCTGTATTTGTCCAAACACAGACGTCCTCTGGTAATACTAATCCCGTGCGACTCTGCATGTCAGTGATTGTGATCGCTATTGCCGCTTTCTCTACTTTCTGTGTTGTTTTTTGTCAATGAGCTGAAGAGTTGCGTATCGTGGCTGTGTACACCGGCAGAGTCGCGGCTGTCTCTGAGAGGTTTATGGAGAAGTGTGGAGAACAGTTATGTGTTCACTGTCCTCTACACTTTTATTGATCTCACACTGGAGAAAATTAACAAAGGCGGAAGTCTATAGTAAAGTAGGGCAAGGACCTCAGTCACACGGGAGGAGCTCGGAGTAGAGTTGAGTAGATCCAGGGGAAGACCCAGGACATGTATGAAGGCCAGCTCTTAGGACACGTTGAGCTGGCCTGGGAACGCCTCAGGATCCCCCCGGATGACCTGGAGGAAGTGTGTGGGGATAGGGAAGTCTGGCCATGCTTTGACCCCTCAGCAGAAAAGTATGGAGGGATCTCTATTAGAGTATTTGGGTTTTTGGAACTGCACTGTAATATTCTAGAGCAGCTGTGTCAAACCGGTTCCTGAAAAGGCCGGTGTGGTTACATGTTTTAGTTCCAACCTGAGCACGAGAACACCAGACTCCACCCATTTCCTCGAATCTTTAAAACTAGTTAAAACTAGTGCTCTAGCTTAGGTTTGAACTAAAATCTGCAGCCACATTGGCCCATTGAGGACCGATTTGACACCCCTGATCAAGAACATTCCATTCAGCATATTTTTGTATAGCCCTAAATCACAACAGGAGTTATCTCGGCGGACTTTACAAAACTGTTGAATTCCCCAACACAGATCAGAGAATTAATTCAAAACAGTTCAAACACAAGAAATGCAATGATAAAAACGCCACTGGTCCATAAGGGGCAGATAGCCAATGTCCATAAATAAACTTTTTTAAAGTGCTTTCTGATGTGTTTCTTGCTCACTGCAGTGTTGAAGAAGTTGAGAGGGGTCTCGGACGTGAGCGCTGACATAAAGGAGATGAAAGAGGAGAGCCGGAAGATGATGAGCGAGCCCAAAGTGACCCTCGTGGAGTTGTTCCGCTCGCACAGGTACCGCCAGCCGCTGGTGGTGGCTGTGGTTCTGCAGCTCTCCCAGCAGCTGTCTGGCATCAACGCTGTACGTTACATTGTTTGTGTTTAGGGCCAGCTTTATCTGTGGCCGACCTCTGAGAAACACTGTGTTCTGTCTCTTGTAGGTGTTCTATTACTCAACTCGCATTTTCGAGAGAGCAGGAGTGGCACAGCCCAAATATGCTACGATTGGAGCAGGAGTCGTCAACACTGCCTTCACTGTGGTGTCTGTGAGTGTGCTAGTATCCATCCATCCATCCATCCATCCATTTTCTTCCGCTTTATCCGTTGCCGGGTCGCGGGGGCAGCAGTCTAAGCAGAGACGCCCAGACTTCCCTATCCACACACACTTCCTCCAGCTCGTCCGGGGGGACCCCAAGGCGTTCCCAGGCCAGCTGAGAGACATAGTCCCTCCAGCGTGTCCTAGGTCTTCCGCGGGGCCTCCTCCCGGTGGGACGTGCCCGGAACACCTCCCCAGGGAGGCGTCCAGGAGGCATCCGGAACAGATGCCCGAGCCACCTCAACTGGTTCCTCTCGACGTGGAGAAGCAGTGGCTCTACTCCGAGCTCCTCCCGTGTGACTGAGCTCCTCACCCTATCTCTAAGGGAGCGCCCAGCCACTCTGCGGAGGAAGCTCATTTCGACCGCTTGTATCCGCGATCTCGTTCTTTCGGTCATTACCCAAAGCTCATGACCATAGGTGAGGGAGGGAACGAAGATTGACCGGTAAATCGAGAGCTTTGCCTTTCGGCTCAGCTCCCTCTTTACCACAACGGTCCGATACAGCGACCGCATCACTGCGCACGCTGCACCGATCCGCCTGTCAATCTCACGCTCCATTCTTCCCTCACTCGTGAACAAGACCCCGAGATACTTGAACTCCTCCACTTGAGGAAGGACCTCTCCACCCACCTGTAGAGGGCAAGGCACCTTTTTCCGGTCGAGCACCATGGCCTCGGATTTGGAGGTGCTGATTCTCATCCCAGCCGCTTCACACTCGGCTGCAAACCGCCCCAGTGCATGCTGCAGGTCCTAGTTCGTTGGAGCCAACAGGACAACATCGTCCGCAAACAGCAGAGATGAAATCCTGTGGTCTCCGAACCGGACCCCCTCCGACCCCTGGCTGCGCCTAGATATTCTGTCCATAAATACAGTGAACAGAACCGGTGACAAAGGGCAGCCCTGTCGGAGGCCAACATTCACTGGGAACAGGTCTGACTTACTGCCGGCAATGCGAACACAGCTCTGGCTCCGGTCATACAGGGATCGGATGGCCCTCAGCAGAGGACCTCCGACCCCGTACTCCCGGAGAACCCCCCAAAGGACACCCCGGGGAACACAGTCGAACGCCTTCTCCAGATCCACAAAGGACATGTGGACAGGTTGGGCGAACTCCCATGAACCCTCGAGTATCCGATGGAGAGTATAGAGCTGGTCCAGTGTTCCGCGACCGGGACGAAAACCACACTGCCCCTCCTGGATCCGAGATTCGACCATCGGCCGTAGCCTCCTCTCCAGTACCTTGGAGTAGACCTTACCTTACTAGTGTGCTAGTATTATAATAATAATCATAATATATCATACTTATATAGCTCTTTTTTGACACTAAAAGACACTTTACAGAAGAAAAAAATAAGAAACAAAAATGAAAAGCTAAAAATAAGCGGTTAGCTGTAGTATTGAGAAGTTCTATTGTGAGTCCGAGTTCTTAGTGGGTTGTGGGAGTGAGTTCCAGAGAGTGGGGTCAACCGCAGCAAAGGCTCGGCCACTCAAGCGTTGGCACTTTGTTCTGCTGGGAGTGAGGAGGTTGGAGTCTGTGGATCGGCGGCGGGTGGGACAGTGATGATGGAGGAGGTCAGTGAGGTATGAAGGGGCCAGGTTATGGAGGACCTTCTAGGTACAATTACAATACAATACATTTTTTTCTTTTATAGTCCTAAATCACAGCAGTAGTCATCTTAGAGGACTTTAAAAAACCATTGAAATCCCCAACACAGATCAGAGAATCAACAGTTGAGACAAAAAAAATATTTAGAACACATTTGTATAGGTCCATAGGGAGATACCATTGTCCATGAATGTTGATAAATGTCCATACATGTAGTAGAATGTTAAAGTGAGGAGGAGGACCTTGTATTGTATGCAGTATGGGACTGGGAGACAGTGCAGTTGTTTGACACTTAGTATTGACACCTTCTGTTCCATTTATTGAACAACAAATAACGTTTACTTTTTTTCTGTAGGTGTTTGTGGTTGAGCGTGCTGGACGCAGGTCTCTGCACCTCATTGGGCTTCTGGGAATGGCTGGAGCCACTATTTTAATGACCATCGCCCTGGCTCTACTGGTTAGTGATGATGATTTATCTCTCAGGTGTCAATCACAAGCCCGTGAGCCAAATGCGGCACGGGCTTGTGATTTTTTGTTATTACTATTAACATTTCATTGCACCTCATTGATGGTGAGGTTTATATGTGCTGTCATGGTGGGTTATTCCTCATTTTAAAGACAATTTTCATCCTGTAGTTTAGTCTGAAATTTTAACCTAACACACAATTATTAAGTGTTAATTAGAAAATATAAATCAGTGGCCAATCCTTTAACTATGACCCATTTTTGGTTCAGTCCAAACATAAAGTAACTGAACTAGTTTTTTAGAAAAATATACCAGGAAAATAATCAAATCTAGTTAAATTATAACGACTCTTTAGTCAAAATACCTTCTTCTAACCCTAACCCCTTCAAACACTAACTTTCGGCCTCTGAAGCTGACATTTTTTTCAATCCGGCCCCTGACCAAAATAACTGTGACCCCTGATTTAACTGTTCATTTACCTAGTGTATCTAAAATGTAAAACTTGTTTTTATCAATTGCAGGAAAAACTACCATGGATGTCATATTTGAGCATTGTGGCCATCTTCTCCTACGTGGCCTTCTTTGAGATTGGTCCAGGACCCATCCCCTGGTTTATTGTTGCAGAGCTGTTCTCACAGGGGCCGAGGCCAGCAGCCATAGCTGTGGCCGGCTTCTCCAACTGGACGGCTAACTTTATTGTTGGAATGGGCTTTCAATACATCGAGGTGAGCTGACAGCACTGTGATTTCAGGCAACAGTTGATGATAAGTTTTTTTATTTGTTCTTCTATTCCCTTTGCAGGAGCTCACCTACCCCTATGTGTTTGTCATCTTCACCGTGTTGCTGCTGTTTTTCTTCGTCTTCACCTACTTCAAAGTGCCGGAGACCAAGGGCCGGACGTTTGACGACATTGCAGCCGGTTTTGGAGGGAACTCAGCTGTTCGTGGAGAAAAGTTCTCTCCTGAGGAACTGAACAGCCTGGGGGCAGACTCTCAGCTCTGAAATGTTTCAAATACTGCCTTTCTTCTCTGACCAAGAATGGACAATGGTCTACTCACTACAAGTAGACTGGTAGTTATTTACACACTGTCAGCACATTTCGGGCACCATAACAGACGTGTGTGATTGTCCAACACGAGGCCTTCACTCTCCTCACACTGAGAATTGTCAGCAGGCTTGAGGTGCCTGGTGTAAAGTGAAGGGGGAGAATGGGTTGGAACAATTTGATGCTTTAAAGAAAGGAAAAAGTATGTCATGTCTCTCCATCTATTTTTATAGGTTTCTAATATTTTTCTTTCTTTTTTAAAAATGAACTTCCTGTTACATTTAGTAATAGAACACTGTCAACGTAGAAATCCATTAAACGGCAGATGATTGATAATAAATGCTGTTGACACTGTAAAGGCAACTGTGATAATGTGTTTCATCCACCAGATGGCACTGTGCACATATAAAATACCTTTGGGCTCCAGTCATAAGGATCCAAATTTATAAGACAATATGGACAAACATAATACACTTGAAATCTGCATGTGATATATTATCTAAAATCACAATGATTATGAGTAGTCATTCTAATATTTTAGATGTATTTTACATTTTATTTTTTAATAACATTAATCATGATTTTAAACCAATTATGTTTGTTTGACCTATTTATTTTAAATATACAATCAATTCCATAAACCTGTTGAAATATTTTGGTCTGAATGGGAGTGCCTCATATGACCAAAGTATTTGTAGGTGACACTAATCGGGACCAAATTGAATGTCAGCTTTGAAAAGGTTTTGCCAGTTGCTGAACGCATGTTTTTTTATTACTTGCACTCCTTCTCCTTTATTGTAAGTGCTGCAGATGATCTGATTGTTACAGTATTGTGTGGTTACCGTTTTGTTTCTGTCCCTTAAACCTCTGTGTACGTCACTGTCTGAGACTGCTGTATCACCACCTCTCGTTCTGCTCTCACAGCACTTTATGATATCACAGTGGCATCTCTTCATCACTATGTATTCTGATATTTTGTATTGTATTTTATACTCACATGTGGAAACTGTTACTGACACGACTGAAGAACTGCTGATGAGTTGGGAAATGGAATTGCTTGATGTGTTTATTTAAGTAAATATACTCGTATTTCATAGTCTAATGAGTCATTTATCCAGTTGCAAAACCAACCATAATCATTCCTGGCTTCTTTCTAGAGATGCTTTAAAATGCACCTTTGCATGTGTATATTGTAAAATTTAAATATTCAAAAGTTATTAATTTCTATAACTTGACTTAACCCTTTAAGGATCACCTAATTTCGCCTGCTCCTTCTCGAATTATGATACCCAAATGGAAATGCTTATTGTGTGGACATCTTGTGTCTGATGTTGTGTTATGAGGCCTCATTTGAAAGGTAACACCTTCTAGTTTCTGGAAATTTATGTTACAGTTTGTTAGGAGGGACACAGTCTGCACTACAGCTTCTCAAACGTGAGTCAAAGTTAGTTTTTTTTGTCTCAAAAAAAAAAAGGCAATTTAAAAAGGTTCTCCTGAACACATACTTTATGGTATGCTGTTCAAACTCACCAGAGCAGATGTTTGTGGTGTTGGAAACACCTGTATGAAATTTTAGACCTTTAGGTGGAACTATTTTGATGCTGGGGGCTTTTTTGTAACTAATGGGCACATTCGGCACAAGTGGTCCATTTTTGTGCCAAAGTGTTTTACATGCAAATGATCTATGTTTTTACACCAAAAATCCATTCATATAATTTTTTGGCTATTACTCTTGCTATAAATAGCATTTTTTCTAGATTTTGAAATGTTTGCAGAAAAGCTATTATTTATATAGTTATAGCGCGTGTTCTCCGTGAAAAAGGCTCCGTGTTCCTCTTTACGCATTCAAATATGACGGGAACAGTGGGAGGAAGCTAGAAGTCCGACACATTGCCCGAAACCTGAGATTATTGGCTACAAGATGATTTGATTGACATCCAAATCGGCCAATGGTAGTCAAGACAATGCTGTCGTGACGCATAGATATCTATGTGATTGGAGCGCTAAATCTAGGTGCGCTTGTTTTACTCAACTTACTCTACCTCTCAAACCATAGCACTGAAAAGTCCGGGAATGGTCTTGTTTTGAAGGGGAGGCTTAAGGCAAGACGAACATATCCAGTGACGCTAGGTAAATAGTAAAATGTCATCTTCATACAGTGCGCAAAGAACAGGTTTTGTTTTTGTTTGTGCAACTTTAAATAGTCAAATATGTTGTTACAAGTGGATATCTACTATAAGGATGACTTTGAAGAAAAAACAACTGGATATAATTATTCTCTAGACCCTAACAAAAAGAATGCACACATGTGTGGATTAGACGTGATTTGCCCTAGAATATTAGCATGAAAATGTAAGAAAGGACAATATATATTTTTTTTTATATATATATATATATATATATATATATATATATATATATATATATATATATATATATATATACAGTTTTACTACTTATTCTTACTTTTGTTTATATTTAATGTTTATTTGAACATAATACGTGTTTAGAGGTGGGAATAAGCTTTCAAAAGAGATAGAGCTTGACTATATTGACACAAGTGAATTCTAATACTGATGCTGTTAAATGAAAAATAACTGAATCCTCCCTGTACAGGGAGGGTGATCCTTAAAAGGTTAAACTACAAAACAACATGATGCAAAGTGCCAAATTCCAAACCTTTCGATATAATTTTGACGATTATGGCTCAGTTAATTTTTTTTATTAATCACACTTCCTGAGATATAAGTGAATCATCAACAATGTAACAAATAAATATTCCATATATCTAACTTTGAGTCATTAGTCTGTTGCATATTTCACACTGGATGTTGAATTAAAGAAATGAATTGACTTTTGAACCATATTCCAATCCAGAGTTTCACCGGTCACCATCCTTCCCCAAGTGAAGCGATCAAGACGAAGGGGAAATGTCTGCTTTTTGTACACAGATGTGAATCCATTGGTATTATAGATAGATATAATATGGATGATGTTTTTTGTTTACCATTAAAGTGCAAGTTGTTAATTAAAATACAATTTAACAAAACACTTTTTAAAAATTCAGAAGTTTTATTAAAGAGCGGTAAAGTAGAAGTGATGATGCATCACAACAACAGCTTGTAGTTTGTACAAGGCACAGTGCTCGTACAGAGCAGAGGACAGCAGTCTTTATAAAAGACACAGATCATCCAGGTCCAGAGCAATGTGGACCTCATCAACCAGTTCAGCACAAGAGACATTACAACAGGTCCCACTGACATGAGCTGTCACCAAAATGTGACTCAGTTACATAAAGCCTTCACAATGAAAGGAACAAATACAATATGTGAATAAGTTCACAGTGGATCATGTAGAGCTTTTGCCACAAAAAGACAAAAACATACAGGAGAAGTCTCCCTCTTAAAGGGACATTACACATTTAAAACAATGTGCAACATCATTGATTCTATTGAAATCAACAGAAACGTCATTAGATTCATACAACATGTATGACATAGTACCTTTCAAATGAAAGTTCAATTATTCAAGAGGTTTCCACAGGAAATATATGATTGACAGTTCATGACCTCTGCTAACACAGAAGAAACTGTCTCCGATGAAGCACAACTTATCAGTTGAAGAACATCTTGAATTCAAATAAATTCAGTCTCTTCTTATAAACATTTCCACAGGAATTGCAACATTTTCTTCTCATTTAAACATCAGTCTCAGAGCTTTTCAGATGTAGACAAAGTGGGAGAATCTCAGACCAGTGTGGTCCATAGTGAGTCTGTCAGGGTGCAGACTCTACCAGGGCCTCCAGGGGGCGCCGTTCACTGGACTCTTGTCTTTACAGAAGCTGCTCTGCTTGTGCAGCTCAGTGCAGTGTCTCTGCTGAGGGCTCTTCATGAGGCTCTGGGACAGGAAGTGCTGCTGCTGCAGACGTGTGAGCACAGTGACGGTCATCTCCAGGATGTCTGCTTTCTCCAGCTTGGAGTCTGACTGCTGCTGGAGGAACTCTGTACACAGGAGAGACTTGAGCTGCTCAATGCTGCTGTTGATCCTCTCTCTGCGCAGTTTCTCCACCATAGGCTTTCTCAGCTGCAAAAACAAGAGGCACATGAGTTCATTTGTTCTACACACACCACTGCAACAGCAGCAGAGGAACCATCAAAGCGTCAGGAGAAGGATGGAACAGGCTTTACCTTGTGACAGAGGCTGAGGTCCTGAGAGGGGTCCATTGCTGCAGTGGCTGTAGGAGCCATGTGTGGATGTAGAGCTCTGTGTGGAGAGTCTGCTGTGTGCTGCTTCTGCCTTGTATTTATACACACACATCTCCATTTGAATGTGTGGGTCTAGGTCTAGCACTAGTTTCTCACACTCTGGACCAATCAGAGAGCAGCACAGACAATAAGAGCTGCAGCATGGCACATGCTCTAAAGCCCTGGGGTCAGCTCTCTAAGGAGCAGCTGGACACACGCCTCCCTCAGCTCATAGTTTACAGACTCAAACAGGACGCCATAAGTATGACATGTACAGTCACTCACTCAAACACAATGTTTCGCATTCTGCGTCTTCATTCGCAGCACAAGTTTGGGCGTTGTGTAAAAATGAAGGAGAGAGAAGTGGGAAATGTCCCATGATTCCCGTGTGTTCAGGTCAGAGGTCTTCATCTATTGTCCCTCTGCGGCTGTGAGTGTGTCTTCTCTGGTTTCCCACACTTTGCTTTTCATTGCTTCAACAAAAGAAGTGTGCTGCATTAGGCAAATCATCTGGTGACCATTTGAAAAAACTCTCATTTTGATGCAAGCTAGCTCTTTGAAACCCATGAAGAAGATGACATAGTCTGGGATCGCGTCTTTAATTCAGACAGAAGACATGTTTTATTGTCGATGGTAGAGACAGCACGAACACAGATACAATAGAATGCAAGTGTATTATACAGAGTGGAGGCATGGAGACCTCCAAATCGCAG